TGGCCTCGTGATAGACAGTTTAATTTTTAGACTTTTTGGTAAAGTCTTAGACAGCTCTTTTCTCTGTGATGGGCTGTCATTGTTTACCCACAGCAGGGCCTTTTCAGCTGTCTGCACTGCTCATCCCGAGTTGTCTCAATAAGCACTTTTTAGCACACCTTTCTGTCAAATGCCATAAATTAAGGCACTTTGCGCCCATTGTTTGTCTGATATGAATGAACTCCAGTGACAAGTTCTTCCCTAGCTGACATCCTAACATCAGGGTGCTCTGGCTTGGACCCCTTTGCTTGTTAAAAGTTCTTGGTATACTTATGCCCCTCCCACTTCAGACACGCTAGTCTGACTTTGTCATTTTCCAGAAGCATCCTGGCAGCACAGTGCCTTGCATCAGCGCCCTGGGTGACCCACCTTCGGGTGCAGCAGCGGCTGGGGACTGACAGCACTTCCCGTGTTGGTTTCATTGGCCGATGCACAAGGCAGGTCCTTGGTGGAGATGTCAGTCATGTAGGGAATGGCAGGGAGCCCAGGCAAATGAGGCTTTCCCCCATCCCTGACCTCCTCCCTGACTGCTCAGACCTAAGGGCATAGCGGGCTGGAACTTAAAACACTTTATTTCCAATGTCTGGTCTCAGGATCCTGGTTCTTCTTTACTGGGTGGGTCATTTGTTCAGTTTTTCCTGGGAAATAATGACATTGTAGCCAACAGCCAGCATTTGCTGGATGCTAACTCTATTGGACTCTCTGGGTGGGCAGGTTCCAGAGCAGACTGCCTGAGATCAACTTTCTAGCGATGTGGCTTGGCAGAATCACCTCTCCTCTCACTGCCTCAGTTTCCTTATATATAAAAAGAGGCTTTGATAACATTTCCCTCTCCCTCCTACGGTGCTGAGAGCATCAAATGGGGTGATAGACTTACAGTGCCTTGCTTAGTGTTTGGGGCATAAGAGACATTCAAGTAGCTGCTGGTGAATTCAAATCTTAGCAACGGTATTTGTTATGGATGTTATTATACCCCATCTTATGGATGAGAAAACTGAGACTCAAAGGGGAAGAGATGGAGTGACTTGCTCATGGTCACAGAGCTGGTAAGTGTCAGAGCTGGAGCTTGAACCTGGTTTTCCTTAATCTGAGTCTGTTCCCTTCTGCAGAGCACAGAGCATAGCATTGTGCAAAGCCAGCCGTGTACCAGATCCTGCCTGATGATTTATATATTATCTTGATATTTGGGTTGTGTGGAGTACAATTAATCAGTAGCTTACAAAATGTTCTTTAATGCAAGAATGAGCTCAGCCCCAGTTTCCCCATCTGGAAGATGAGGCATTTGGGCTTAGGTGATCCCTGTGATTCAAGACTCCAGCCCAGGCAGCATGGCAGCCCAGGTTGTGGGGGGCGGGGGTGTGTCCTGGGCCCACTAGGTGCATGCCTTTGGGAATTCACTTATCGCTCTGAGTTCTAGTTTTGTGAGCTATGCAAGGAGGATAATGTTTCCCCCGACAGAATAGTTAGAAGATTGGACAAATGTGAGGAATGCCCTTCACACATAGTAGGTGCTTAATCCATGACAGCTGCCACTGACGTTTCTGTGACTTATTCATGCTCCTGGGTACGAGCCCCCTTTCTTCCTCCTTCATCTCTAGAGAAAAGGCATTTACCATGTTTTATTAATGCTTCTTACTTCTAAGGTGAGAACTGCTATAACACCATGGTTAAAAGCATAGAGCTTGATTTAAACAGTCTGGGTACAAATCTTCACTTTATCACTTATTAGCTGTGTGACTTTCAGCAGGTTGTTTAACCTCTCTGTGCCTTAGTTTCTCATCCATAGAGTAAGGATGTCTAAGTGTGTTAATCTGCCTCAAGTACCTAGAACAGACCATGGCCCTTGGTAAGTTTTCAGAACATGCTAACCCTGCTTATCTAATTTATGTATGCATACTGAGCAGCCCAGTTCTCATAACTAGTGAGGGAAGCTCAAACCTGAAGAGAGTTCAGTCTGTCCCCTGCATCCCGCCACAGTGATTGGCTGGAACTCATTGTTCTGGTCTCAGGTCCCATTTAATAAGCACTAATGGGCTCGTTCCCAGGATTTTCAAGAAAATTTTTAAGCCATGGAAAAATGAACCTGAGGGAAAACAGTCCCGGGGAAATTTTCCTGCTCCTTTTTGTCCTCCATATCCACATCTGTTTGGAAGTAGAAGTAATCACTCCCCCCTCCCCCCACCTCTCGTGTCTCTGTGTCCATCTTGACCCCTGTGGCCTCGGGCGGCAGAAGAGCTGCCGCTAAAGGCTTGCGTGGGAATTGTGGGAGGGGTGTACACCAGGCTTAATTCAGTCTGGTTTGCCAGGTGAAAGGGGGATTCATTTCTCTTTTCCTCAGTTCCGAGGTGCTTTTGCCCAGAAGGAAGTTGTTTTCCTAATGTGTTGGCTTCTGGGGCTAATGTCTTAACTCCCATCTTCTTAGTTGGAAAATATTTGTAAAAAGGGGAGCAAGTGATCAATGTAAATATGTCTCTATCTATGCTGATTTGAAGACTGTGCTGTCCAAGGATATGGAAGATCTGTTTTCAGGAAGAAGAAAGGGGATTGGAGCCCAAATGTCGCTAGGATGCGGGGAGGAGAGAAAGATGGCCACACAGTCATGTGCAGACACTTCTGTGGCCTTCTGAGTGGGTGCTTCATCTGATGCATTCCCTCATGTAAAGCTCATGAGCTGGGGAGCCCTGGCCCTCCTGGGTGCCTAACATTGGCCCAGGAAGCAGTTTGTCAGTGGTTCTAGAAAAGAGACCAATGTGCATCTACCTAGGAAAATCCTAGAATGGGTGAAATGAAGTGCCTTCTGGTTGGGCTGTCAGAGTGAGGATCTGTTAGAAGCAGGGGAGCTGGGGCAGGGAACAGTGCTCAGGGAGACCCCTTGGCTATCAAGCTGTGAGCCTGGAGCCTCTGGGTAGCCCTAGTGCCTTTTCCAGCCTCTCGTGGGCCTGGAGATGTCAGTGCCCCCTGGTATCTCTGTCTTCTCTTGGTTGGTACACTCCTGCTCAGGATCTCCTGTAGGCAGTCTCTGAGGTAGGGAAAATCATATCTTTTCAGGGGTTTTATTCGGTCTAACCTTAGAGTACGTCATCTGGGATCGTCTTGTAATGTTTCCTTCAGTTTCGCATTGTTCTCCTCTTTGACTGTCAGTGGGGTTATTGTGGTGCTGTTCACTGCTCAGTGAGCTGCTTTCCCCTGTTGGGGAGTGTGTGGCCTGCTCTGCATGCCTGAAGTGAGAGGAAACAAGGAGCTGGGGGCTTTTATGACCTTAACCATAACTTTGGACGTCAGCAAGCAAGGGCTTCGGTCATCACTCTTTCAACACTGAATGTGTGAGTCAAAACTCTGACCCAGTGTTTCTCAGTCACCAGCATCTAAGTATCATTTGAGACACTTGTTTACAAAATGTAGATTCTCAGACACATCCTGTGAGTATACTTGAGGGACTCAGCATTGTAACAAGCTCAACTGTTATTCAAGGGTGAGAGCCACCCAGGAACTCATGGGAACTTCTGCAGATTTGCTGTAACTTTTTACTCACAAGTGAGTCTTGCCTTTTGCAGTCGCCTCTGGGGAAATCCTCTGCTCCAGTTCTGAATCTCCTCTCATACAGCTGCCCTTAGACTTGTTGTATTCTTGCGAATGCCCTCCGTGGTGATAGGACTTGCTCATTTGGTGTTTAAACAGCTAATTGATTCAGGGCCACAGCTGATAAGGAGGCTCATCAAGCTGGTGACTACCACTGTGGTGGGAAAGAGACTGGCCAGTAAGGAGAGGGGTTTTCTCATGTCTCATGAACTGCCTCTAAGGACAGTTCCCGAAGAGGAGACCCCAAGATGTGCTAAGCTCTGGCAGCCTGGTTGTAGCAAGAATGTAGAACATCTCCAGTCATTTTGAAAGCCCGTGTGCATTTCGGTGATTTCTGTGTTTATAACAGAAAAGTGTCTTCCAGCAGTGCCTTAGCCCGATTAGAAAGCCCCTTTCCACAAAATGGCATTGCATTAGCGTACAGGTGGAGATTTCCAAAAGTGTGAGCAATAGTTACCATACCCCACCCTTCGCACCACTGTCTATTAGGCCATTTGTGGATTTGCAAGATATTTAGTCCCTTCCAATATTATAATACCTGAGATGTTATAATCATAAGGAAGTAACTGAAATACTTTTTTCTTGGTTGCTAGAATGTCAAAAACAACTTACTAATTGTAGAATGCTGAATAAAGACTAGATATGGTAGGCAGAAAACCTGGTCTCTAAAGCCTGGCCTTGCTACTCACCAGCTTTATGTCATTGGGCACGTCATTTAGTCCCCAAGCCTGGCAAAGATAGTCACCGAGTCATCAGGAGGATTTAAAGAGACGCCGGGACCTGATGCTACCCAAACATAGTTCCTGCCTCATGGAGGGTTCTGTAATGAGTGTTGCTTGTATCTGAATCCCACCAGCTTGATTCATTAAACACTTATTGCACTTTTGTGTGCTTTGGGTCAGGGAAGGGGAGGGGAGGGAGGAAAGGAAGAGAGGTGGCAAGCAAAAGGATTAAATTCTGCTTTGCAGAGGAAATGAAATTCAGCAAAAGAACACCAAAGAAAATGGATCGATTGACTCTAAGCAAGTCCAACGTGCTCCCATGTTGCCAGAGAGCTGGGGATGGGAGGCCAAGTGTTCTTTTACCCTTCTGCAGGGGAGGATGTGAGGGTGTTGCTGGCAAAGCTGAGTCATCACGATTATAGGTTATCTTTTCTGTTTAAAAAGCCACCACTTTAAACGTGGCTCCCAGCAATTACTTTTTTAAGTCTTCAGAGTCTCTAAGTATAGATACAAATCCTTTCTTTCTTTCTTTGAGGTCAGGAGTTCAGTAAGATCATTCAACTAGTGAGTCTAAATGAAACTAACTTGAACTAATTATCAGTCAGCCCTCTGATAGCAAACTGCTGTCCTTATAAGGGATTATTTGTTATTTTTTTCCAGGCAATTTCTTTCCTCACACCCCTGGCTGTTATTTGTGTGGTGAAAATTATCCGGCGAACAGACAAGACTGAAATTAAGGAAGCCTTCTTAGGTAGAGTATTCACATTTCCTGCTCTAGGGGATGGGGCTGGACTTAATTAGATCAGTAGATTTTAAAAATCTCTGTTGCACTCAACTGATTTTTCTCTTGGTCAAATTAAGCTTGGGAGAAACAGGGAAAGGTAAACTTTCAACCCTAAGAAGAGCCAACACACAGATAGATGGTGAGCAGCTCACCTTCAGCAGCAGCCTTGTCGCTGTCCTTTGTGCTGAATGTGAATGTCCAAATACACGTCTGAGCTCTGTGCTGCTCAAGCACAGCTACAGGGTAGCTCTTAGCCATGAGGCAAAGAGAATCTGAAACTGTCACCATTGACTGTCCAATCCCACATCTATGGCTAATAAGCCCACGTTACGGGCAATTCAGAAATCAGCCATAGACTTCTTGACTAATCACCATTGGCTAGAGGCACAAAGATCAAAAGCAGATATAAAATAAAATAGAAATTGGAAGTAAACTCCATAGCTCACTCTTTTGGGGGGGGGGGGAGGATTTTGGCAGTTAAGCAACTGTTACTGTATAAAGAGTGCCACAATCTTTGCCACTGATTTCTTTGCCACTGATTGTAACACCATTGTTACAAATTCTCCCCAAGCTAAGCCATAGCTGCATGTGACACGAGTTTGACATTTTTAAGATTAAATCCATTTTTATGATCTTCATATTAGTTAAATAACTGAGTAGATGACAGTATTAAGAGAAAGCAAAGCTAATTGGCCTGTTTCATAACCGAAATAAACTACCCAGTAGTCAGGTTTTCAGCTTTTTGATCATCAGGAGAACTGAATTATGTTTATTTTTTGACGCCTTAATAAAAACTATCCAAACCCTCACACAAACCACTTTTGGTATTTTGTATGGACTTACCATTCATTCAGTTAGATTATCATATCTGGAAAAATGAGATTTCCCACCTCCAAGGGTATGTTTGTAAATTATTGGGCTTGGAGGAAATGGAAATGTAGCAAAATATGGTCTTCTCTCTTCTTGGTGCAGGGGTGAGGGTAAGGTCAACATCTGGGGCATGCAGAGCAGCGAAGGGGGCTTTGTGCTCTGAAGCAGGACAGGGAACATTTCTTACATAACCAGGCTTTGGTTGGGCCTTAATTGAACAGAGCAGAATCTCTCTCTAATTAGCTCATATAAATTAGGGGTTAGTTACAGGGTTGTATCAGCAATCTCACAAATATCCAAGAATAGGGGGAGAAAGGACAGAGGAGCATCATGGGGACTGGAATTGGGAGCCGGGCCATCAGGGGTAGAGATACATTCCTCTCCGTAATGTGCCTTCCCTCTTCCCCTCACACATCCTGCCTAATCCCCCAATGTGGCCATTATTTCTGCTGCCTCATGCCTTTGGTTTCTATGAGGCTTGGACTTGCAGTGGTGGGCACTCCTGTCACACACCTGTAGGACCTTCAGCTCCAGTGCCCACCTCCAAGTTGCTCTGCGTCTCGTGGACCAGACTTCCCAGGCAGACCCTCTGGTTCGATTCATTTTCACACCTGGACACAAAAGTCATGAGTCTCTGGTCAGCCTGTAGGTGCCCAGCCTTGGGTCAGGTACATACCCAGGCTGCTTATCTGTGGTTTGGGGTTTTGGCAATCACATGGTCTCAGTCCCCTTAGCTGAAGTGGCAGAAAGGTCTGGTGTTCCAAGGAGGGCATAGGTGCCCTCCCCATGTAGCTTGAGCAGCCAGGGCAGTGTTGGGCTAAATATCCCTCTGGTCCCTGAAACGTCCTGCTGGCAGCTCCCTCAGCTGACCTGGAAATCCCTTTGCCTCTCTTTTTATTCTAGTTGCTCCCCTGGCACGGAGTCCCTAGATGATATGAGTGTGGGTGAGAGCGGTCTCTCATGGTTATGGTTATAATTTACTGCCAGCTTTTGGAGTGTTGTGTTGTCGTGGCAGTAAGTTACTTCTCTAGACCTTTCCCTTTTCCGCTAAATCTCCCTTGGAGTGACATTTCAAAATTGCACACCATACCCTGCCTTCTATATGTTAACAGAGAAGGTGGAGTTACCAAATGTTCCGTTTGCCTAAATAGATGAGAGCCTGCCCGGGGAGCCTCCTGTTGTACACAGCTTTTTTTTTTTTTTTAATCACTTCTTTTAGGAAGCCTTGGAAGTAGGGGGTGAGGGACTGATCTTTAAAAACCAAGGACAGAAAACCAGGTGTAGCATTTCTAATGTTATCTGGAGTTCAGGACTTTCTCAGAGTGGTTTAGTGCTCAGGTCCCTTCTTTAGCAGACCTGAAACCCCAAGACCTCCTCTTATCTACATGTCCACATTGGCCACCTTTGTACATCTGCTGTGGAACAAGACAGGTGAGGTTTGCCCGTATGTAGCATCCAGCTTTTGGGGGTTTCGGCTGCAGAACAGCCAGCTGGTCTAATAGAGTCCCCTGTTATGGAACTACTGCAGCACCGAATTCTCAACAACAACCAAAGTAACAACAAAAACCCTCTAATCCTCGGGGATGCATATGAGCAGTAGAGTTTTCAGTACAGGCCGCCTGCAGGCTAACTCACAGGACACATTACTTTGAATTTCTTTATTGGACACAGTCTGGTTTGTCGTTTTGTCTCTTCTCTCAAACCCGCAGGGCTGTGGGATGTTGTAAACACAGCTCTTATGAAACAGACCCGCTGGGTTATTGTTAATCAACAAGCATTCCTGATTGGGGCCATTCATTTCCTGCTCAGCCAGTCTTTCATGCCTCTGATCTGGGCCCAGCCTACCCTCTGGTGTTGGTGAGAGGCCCCCACAGTGGTCCCCTAGGGGTTGTACTATTCAGAGGAAAATAGTCAGTTTGGTTTACTTCCAGAATGCTGAGATGACTTTCACCCTAAATATCATCACTCCAGAGCCCCATTGTTTTCTGTCTCCTTCAGGCTTTTGGATCAGAGTGAAGTTGCCAGCTATTGGCAGTTATATCACATCCACACGTTTTCTAGCTCAGCTACTTGAAACTTTTCAAAGAACTGCTCTTGGCTACAATGAGGCCAAGCCGGTGCTGAGGCTGGGGTCATGTATGGTGTTCTGGATTGATGTAGCGGTCTGTGAAGTTCCCCAAGGGCATTGGGAGATCTGCTGGTGATGCTTGTTCCCAGAGACCGCCTCTGTGCTAAGGCCATGCTAGGACCAGGATCAGAAGGAGGCCGGCCCAGCTGGGAAAACACAGTCGTGTTCCCAGGAAAAGACCCCAGTCCTGCAGGCTGATCTCACAGCCTGTTAATTGTCTTGGCTCTGGGGAGAATACAGCAGTGAAGATAGTCCAGGGCATTTTCTCCTCCTCTTTGCAAAGGAGACCTCTCAGCGGTGCTCTGAGCTGGCAAGAGAGAAGGGAAGCCAGCATTTTAGAAGAAAGGGTCTGTGCGTGCAGAATGGGATCAGAAGAATCCTAAGATCTCTCTGAATTCCTACACAATTTATCCATCCAGTTGGCTGCTCGGTGTGTTAATGGCGGTGCTGTGCTCCGACTCCTGCTCCATTCTGTCCACCCCCGGGGCCCATCCGTCCCCTCACCGCACTCAGATACAGCCCACTGTGGCCCATCTCTAGCTTAGGTGATTAGTTTTCCTTTAACAAAGGTATTCATTTGAGCTGGTCCTTCCCATTCTCTCTGCTTCCCATGACTTGCTAAAAGCAGATCGGTTTTGTATCAATCTCTGGCCAGTGCCCTTGATGACTGTGTTGGCCATTGCACTCTACTTTCTGCTCAGAGAACACATTTGTCTCCCTTGATGACCATGCATTGCTCTAGGCAGCTCCTTCCCGGAAATGTCCCTCCACCGCTGTTTTCTTACATAAATCTCAGCTACTATTGAACAGTTATTGGTTGCCAAAGGGAAATGGTAGCTCACATGCTTTGTCATTCAACAAAGCGCTGGAGCGGGGCATCGATAGGTTTTTTTTGCTTATGCAAGGCATTTGACCTTCCATCACATTGACTCGCCTTTTGTGCAGTTTTGATAAACATAGGAGAGACCTGTGAGGTACCCTTTGAATGATCTGTACTTTATCCAGTAAAGTCCTTCCAAGCTGCTTAGAGAAAGTCCCCATGCTGTATATTTTTAAATAATGTATTCCAGAAGTTCCTTCTGCCTCAGGTGGCAAAAATCATGCCCCCGGGCAAACCTTCTCAAAACCCAGGGAGGTGTTGGGACTGTTTACTTTCTCAGAAAGTGATTTGTTTGATAACAAAGGGACTTTGTCAACAGGTGATGGGTCAACACAGAGATAATCACCGAGTGGGAATGTCCTACTCTAAAGAAGGATTCCAAGAGCTACTCTGATTAGAATTATGTTTGAGAACATTGCCAGAAACAGATAAAAAAGTTATGTTTCTTGCTACCAGTAAAAGAATCTCTATATGCTATAGTATTAAATCTGTTCATATCAGGCCAAAACATAATAGATGGGTTGGTTCCTTTCCAATATTAAAAATTTTAGTCAAGGAGGAGAGAGAAATTTCATGTCATAGGAGCTTGGGATTTTATGAGCTGCTGTCCAAAGTCTTGCCTTAATTATATTTTACTCTAGCCACTCAGACTTCCCTCTGTCTTTTAAACTATTGGCTCATATGTCCATGGTCATAATCGAATGGTATGATGATGTAACAGTGATGATGATGATGCTGATGACTGTGGATTGAGAGCCAGCTGGTTATTTTTCTGTCTGTTGGTTTTGTTTTGTAGCGGTGTCCTTGGCTCTTGCTCTGAATGGCGTCTGCACAAACACTATTAAGTTAATAGTGGGAAGGTAAGTTCCAGAAAGAAACATATGGTGGCTTAGACTCTCAAGGTCATCTGTGGATTGGCATTTGAGCTTTGGCTTATGGCATATTTCTGTTGCCCCCCTGGGACACAGTTTCTGTTCTCAACTGCTCCAGAAGTGAGCTAGTTTCCATAGAGATGAACAGTCAAAAGACCTGAATTTGAGGCCTGACTTTGGCTGTTGGCCTTGGATAGGTTAGCTCCCCTCTCAGAAGCTCGGCATTTACTGATTATCTACCTGGTGGAGGGTGCTGGCCAGGCACCCAGGGGGCAGAAGGTGGATACAAATTGGGCAGCGCATGATGTGGGGCGGGTCTCTCTCTCAACTTTCTGCGTTAAAAGTTGCTGTGGGGCCCTGTTAAAATGCTGGTTCCCAGGCCTTGTCTGCTCTGAGGTTCTGGTTCAGTAGGTGAATAACCACACTTGGAGAAACACAAACCGAGTAGGGGCGGGGAGAGAGTACACCAGAAGTTCTGATAGATTATTGATACTGATTATTGATATCTTACAGATATTGACAGATTATTACTGAGCCTAGATCCCAGAGCTGGAAAGACCAGGGTGTCAGTGTGTCCCAGTATGTGCAGAAAAGTGGCCCTGTGTTTATAGCACTAGCAAAGCCTTGCCCATGGCTGGCCTTCAGCAAATATTAGTTGAATTACTGGGAAGGGATTGTCCATCACCCCTCTGTGTGAGAATCCTCAGCGGAGGGAGGCAGAAAAACACGGGGTGAAGTGTGTCGGTGCAGGAATCCAATCACTGGGGTTTAGGCTTGCCTTTGCCACTTACTGGTTGGATGTAACCTTGGGCAGGAGTGTAATCTTTCTAAACCTTCATTTTTGCACGGGTCAGATGAAGAAAGTCCCGGGGTTGGCATAAGAATCACGTGATCTGATGCACGTGCAGTACTTGGCACTGTGTGAGGGTACCCAGTGAGGGCTCCGTAAGTGCCAGTGTGCCTGCAGCCGGGGGCTCGACCTTGGGGCCAGCTTTGGCCCATGTCCCGTGAGGTCTGTCTCCCCAGACCCGGGCCAGGGAGGCCAGCCTGGATGGCCGTGCACTCAGCATCGTGGAACTGAGCTGTTGGGTCCTCTGTTTCAGTGAGGTTAGGTGAGACCTGCTGTTCAAGGAGGGGCGATTGACCATCCAAATTCAAGACGTAGGGACATGAGGAGCCTGGAGTCTGGGGTTCTGGAAGCAGCCTCTGAGTGGGAGCTGTCAATGGAGGCAGGAACTACTTCTACTCCCCCCGTGCCGTGCTTAGCTGCCTCCTATCAGTCCTCTCATCTGGCCCTCACGACCTCCCCTTTGGGTGGGTATTCATGTCCCCTCTTACAGATGTGGAAGCTGAGGCTGGGGGAGGCTGTGTGACCTTCCCAAGGTTAGAAAACTAATAAATGGCAGAGTGGGAGTTCCAACTCAGAGCTTTCTGACCCCGAAACCTGAGCTTTCCCCAAGACCACCATGTCTGGAGTGGTCCCCAGGGAGCACCGGTATTGATGGCAGGAGAAGGAGCTGGGGGCAGCAAGGAATGGTGGGGGTCAGCTGGGGGTTCCTCTGTGATGGCAGCATTTTATATTGAAAATGTCCATGGTGTCTTTTGTAGACCTCGCCCCGATTTCTTTTACCGCTGCTTTCCAGATGGAGTGATGAACTCAGAAATGCACTGCACGGGGGACCCCGATCTGGTGTCCGAGGGCCGCAAAAGCTTCCCCAGCATCCATTCCTCCTGTAAGTTCAGTGGCTGGGACTCTCTTTAATTTCCAGTCGTGTTTCCTTACCACTTTCCTTGGGAGTTTCAGTGGAGGGGAAAGCACTGGGACACGAATGTTGAGCACAGTTCACTCTTCTTCCCTGTAGGCTTAGAAACAAGAATTCGACAGGAAGTAATAAACCTGCAGACGAGGCTCTAGAGTTTACAAGACATTGTACATGTTGCTTCTGTGAGCTTAGCGGAGCGTGACATGTGACACTTTACCCTTTGGCAGTATGATTCGGGAGCTTAACAGTGCAAGGGAATTTACCATGTTCCCTGGGACCTTGCTTTTCAGCTCCGTGTTCTCTCCAGGTCATTCCTTCAGTGATGGTATCGTGTGTGTGTACCAATGTAGAGCATATATATGTACACACACACACACACACACACGCCTCAATGTACAGTCTGGTTATAGATGTGCAGGCTGGGACCAGCCTCAAAGCCAAGACTAAATAATATGAATCAAGTGCAGGGTGGTGTAGTGGAGAGAACACAGGTCTTTGTAGCGACAGACCCTGGCTCTGCCAGGTCTTAGCTCTGTGACTTACCCGCTCTGGCCTCAGCACCTGCTCTGTACAGTGGGAACGATGCTGCCTCCATTCCTGGTTGGAATGAGGGTTAAAATAAGTGATGATGGTCGCTGACATTTGTAACAGCTGCCATGACAGCATGGGTAGGGCATTATCTCATTTAATCCACTCAATATATATGTGAAGTACTTAATATGGTGCTTTAAATCCACAGTACTTGTCCATATTATTGTCTGTAACCAGAGCTGAGGTTCCAGAGTATTCTGGTTTGTTCCAGCAATGTTTATTGAATGACCGAGGTGCCAGGCACGGTGCTAGGTGATGGGGACACAGAGGTAACTAAGACACAGCTCGTGTCCTGGGGACTCTCGAGGCAGTGGGATACTGTATATTTAGGTTGGTGACACTGGGATCATTGGAAAACCGTAGCCACAGGCGGCCACTTGGGAGAGGCCGTTCTTGTGACCCGAAGTCCTTGATTTCTCACAGGTGTGACGTTATCAGCCGCTAGCAGGCCTGTTACCTTGATCTTTTCTGTTTTTTCTAAGTATATAAGACATTCCCTGATAGCGGCTGGATCAAAGTCTCTGGATGCCTTTTCCTGCAGTGTTTGTTGAGTATTTTGCTCAGAGCTCTTAGAGACTGGAGCCCTTGCAACAAGATATTGGGGTGCCAGGCGCTCTATGTGAATTACCGTTAATCTGTACGACGGCCTCGCCAGGTCAGGTGGTCCCCATTTTACACGTAAGGACAGTGAAGCTCAGACAGACTCCGTAACTTGTTCAAGGACACTTAGTTGACCTTCATACCAGCCTCTAACTCGATAGTGTCTGAGGGCTTACCGTGATGAAATACGATGAAGTAGCCCAGGTTCATTTAAGTAAATAACTCATATTCTTGTCTGGTTTGTTGGAGACTATAGGGGGTTGAATAATGTTCCCCCAAAAGGTATGTCCGAGTCCTAGCCCACGGAACCTGTGAACGTGACCTTATTTGGAGAATCATCTTTGCAGATGTAATTGAATTAAGGATCTCAAGATGAGATTATCCCAGATTTACAGATGTCCCCGTTAGAGAAAGACATAGGAATATTTGAGATGCAGAGACACAGGTGAGAAAGCCCCGTGAAGACGGGGGTGGAGATTGGAGTGGTGCAGCCACAAGCCAAGGAACCTGGGGCCACCAGATGCTGGAAGGGGCAAGGAAGGATCCTCTCCTGGAGCCTTCAAAGGGAGCATGACCCTGCCCACACGTTGATTTCAGAATTCTGGGCTCCTGAATGCGAGGGACTACATTGCCATTGTTCTCACCAGCCTGGTGGTCATTTGTTACAGCCGCCCTGGGAAAAGGATATAGAGGCTTAGACCGAACACTCCCCAGCTAGCGGAAAGCCTTTGGCTTTAGAGGCTTGGGGGAGTTGAGAGAAAATGCTTCCTTGAGTGTGCTTCGCCAGAATGCCCACTGAGGTTCACGTGGCAAGGGGCCAGGCACCTCAGGAAGGTGGAGGCCCCAGGGTTCTCCGAGGCCGCTCGAGGTAGGACGTCCATTTGGAATCACGTCCCCTCTGGGTGTGTTTGTGTTCTCTGAGGTGTCATTTTAAGGAGGAGTCGCAGGTGCCTGCTGGAGGAATGCCTGCTCCCCTGAGCTCCTTTTCATAGTCTGGCATTTCTGTGCTGGTACTGTTGGGAGGTCCCCGGAATAGCGTGTACCGGGGCTTGGCTCCCATCTGCTCTCCAGCTCTGTCCTTGTAGGGTCCCTCAAGTTCTCTGTTGTTTAGGGCATGTTCTGTCCTCCCAAAGACTCAGTGCCGAGCTCGACGGGGCTTCCAAAGCTCAAAGCAGAAAGAAGTGAAACCCTGCCCCCTGGCTTTCGGGTGGCTGACTGAGGCCTGCCAGCACCATTTCGCATCCAGTGTTGCATTTGACATTGGGCAGGAAATAGCTGTCGTGTGAATAACTCAGCGCAGAAGACTGCCGGTCCTAGGGAGGAGAGGCCAAGCCCCACGGAAGTGTTTCTTTGAGAAGCACACCTTCCCTGTCAGGTGCATTTTCTGACAGGGCTGCCCACCAGCTGCCCTGTCGAGTGCGTCGCTGACGTCCCATCTGGGCCAGACCAGCTTTTTGACAGAGGCTATGACTATCTTTTGCTTAAGACACTGCTTAAAATGTTACGGATTTTTACTACTTGGCAGACACGGGATCGTACCCAGCCTCTAGGCTTTGATGACAGTATTTTTATCTGTTCTCTTTCTTTGTTGTGACAGGTCAGTGGCTGCCTTACAAGGAGCTGCCACAGCCATTTAGAAAAACCGTCGGTGCTATTCTTTGGATTCCTTGTTGTGGCTAATAGGAAGTGGTTGGCATGACTCTTGGCTCTTGGAGGAGGTGCTGGCCCTCAGAGGGATGAGCTTAGTGGACCCCCAGTGTGATACACACACTCCTTCTCCCTTTGTAGGTTGCACGGGAGTGAGTGCACACAGGCGTTCTGGGCCACGGGATCTCCTAAGACGAGTTCCTCATGCTAGATAATCACAGCTTTGCTTCCGCTCTGTTTATAGATAATTGGGGACTAGAAGGTAGACGATGTCCACATACCATCCTGCAGGACAGTTGATTTTCTTTGAACCTAAGAACAAACATTGGTTTCTTTTGGAGACAAAAGGTCTTGTGCTTAGTTGACCATAGGCAGTCAAACAGCCCTCTGCTCAAGTGCTCACGTGGCATCCAGCCCTCAAATGGCGTGTCCCACAGCAGCCGTCTTGTGGGACTTGCTCCATAAGGCAGCCCAAGCCTCCCTTGTGGGGAAAAACAGTCACACTTTCAAAGAGCAAGTGGTTTCCTCTTGGAAACTTGGGATTTATTTATTTTTTTTAGTTTTAAATATTTATTTATCCATTTATTTTAGAGAGAGAGACGGAGGGCACATGCATGCATGCTAGTGGGGAGAAGTGCAGGTGGAAAGGGAGAGAGAGAATCCACAAGCAGACTCCCTGCTGAGTATGGAGCACAACGCTGGGCTCAATCCCATGACCCTGAGATCATGATCTGAGCCGAAACCAAGAGTCGGCTGCCCAACCCACTGAGCCACCCTGGTGCCCCCAGAAACTTGGGATTTAAAGTAGAGAAAGGCAATATAGCTTTAAGGCAGGGATATTCTGAAAAGGGAATTGTCTTTCATTGCAGTCTTGGCTTTTGATTGGATATTGTTTCACATTCCAGAAAGAGGATAGCTTTCAGAGAGAAAAACAGAAAAAACCAAATTATTAATGCCAAATCAAGCTATTAAGAAACTTCTTTCCTGTGAAAATGGCGAGAATGCATAAAGTGATATTGTTGTTCATGGATCAGCAAACAACAACCCATGGGCCAAATCCGGTGCCTGTTTGTTTTTGTAAATAAAGTTTCATTGGAACAGTGAGATGCCCATTTGTTTATGTATTGTCTGTGGAGGCTTTCACATTCTAATGGCAGAATTGTGTAGTGCCGAGGGAGACATGGTCCACAAAACTGAAAACGTGTTGCTTATGCTCCAGACAAATAGTATTGAAAAGCATTACCATGGTGGTTGGGGCTGGGGGCAGGATAACAGGCAGAGCACAGAAGATTTTTAGGGCAGTGAAACTACTCTGTATGATACCAGAATGGTGGATACATGTCATTATATATTTGTCGAAAGCCATAGAATGCACAGCAGTAAGAGTATGTAAACTACGGGCTTTGGGAGATGATGATGTGTCAGTGTAGGTTCATCAGTTGCAACAGATGATGGGGGATGTTGATAATGAGGGAGGCTGTGCACATGTGTGGGGGCATATGAGAAGTCTCTACCTTTCTTTTTTGATTATTTTTTATTTAAAAAATTTTTATTTAAATTCAATTTAGTCAACATACAGTATATTGTTGTTGAGTTTGATGTGTTCCCTTTTGCTGTGTCTCTCTTTGTCAAATAAATAAAAAATCTTTCAAAAAAATTTTTTGCTGTGAACCAAACTGCTCTGAAACATTTAAGTCTGAAAAAAAGCATTACTAAAGCAAGACCAATGCACTTTAATTGTACACACAGATGTTTCATTTTTAAACAACTCCATTATATTTTTTAAAGGGGGCATTTATAGGATAATCAATAATAACTTGTGGGATACACTCTTTAAATGGCAGACAAGATTTAAAAGGTGTGTCTGGCTGATGATGATTTAACAGATTCTTCTTGAGCCCTTACTGTTTTGTAGGTACGGGGTTGGTACTCTGGGAGGGTACAGGATGGTCAGACAGGGCCAAGTCCTCTTTAGGGCAAGGATGAATACCAGGTGCATTTACCACGGTGGTCTGGAACATGGAGACTAGGAATTCCAAGCAGGGGACGGGAAAAGCTTTGGGAGGAAAAGCACTTTCTCCTATCATTTCTGAGGAGGGGGAGGGTGTATGAGCTACAATGTTTTGAGATAC